TTTCATCAGTATATGTCCTGAGAAGCTCTACCATGACTGATGTGGCCTCCTCACTTTTACAAAACAAAAAAGAAAAGGTTCAAATTTAGAGCAATTTTCAATGGAGTGTTGAAAGTGATCTGGGATTGCTTTGTTTTTGCTTTATTTCATTCTGTGATTGGTCCAGAAAACTCGCGCCACAGTCTCAACCAATCAGATGCAAAACTAAATTAAACCAATTATGCCTTACTTGCCCGCATTTTCCCGAGCATTAAAGGCAGTTTGGTTATTTTCACTTTTAGTTCTCATTGGTTCTTAAAGGCATATTTTCCTTTCTTCCGATTTGCTGTTGTGATTACATTTACTTTGGTTTTGGTTTAATGATTCTCAATTGAAAAAGCAATTTAATGCTGAAAATATTGTCAAAGTTACAAGAATTGTGGGCCTAATGGTCTGTAAAGCTCTTTACATCTTCTGTCCACTTTTTTCTTTCTTTCTTTCTTTCTTTCTTTCATTCTTTGAGTGAATAGCAAAGTGTTCATCAAAAACTGTGCCTCTTTATAAGTTAAACTCATCAACAGAATATAAAAGATAGGAGAGATTTACTTAACCACAGTTTTATAAAGAAATTCTGCCTCCTGTTTTATGTTTCTGTGACCACAGGAAGAGAGCTATAAATTAGTTCAGTGCTTTTAAAGCAACATGATTGACTTTACTTGCAAATTACTTCAGTTGAACTTTTTTTAAAAGAAGTAGCATGATCATTATGCCAAGTTAAGCATTTGGATGGTAAAAATGTAATTCCAGACTTGCCTTTGTCTGTCTTCTGTCAAGGCATCAAAAAGCAATCTGTATACTTTTCTGGCCTTCATTCCATCAACTTCCCACATATTTAGCCAACTCCTAACCTGAAAAAGCAGAAACATGACACAAAATGTGAGATCATTTTTATTAATAATAATAATTATGTAAACCAATCGCTCACAAGCAAACATATTTAAAGGATTATAAAAAGCATCAGTGGTACATAAGAAAAATATAAGAAAAAACTCAAAAGCAATAGTTTTCCTCCACCTACCTGATCCAAAGATACGTTTATCTGATCAATCAAACCAGCTTTTCCTGCAACCTTTACCTGTGTGCAGTAAACATCATAACGGACAGGATCTCTTTCATGAAGCCCGTTTAGCAGGATGCTTAGTCTGTTATTTATCAAATTAACAGAGAGGCTATCAGCAATTATTAAATGTTCAACTCTGAATATTGTATTTCTAGTGTTGTGAATGGTTCTCTCATCTTTGATTATAAGCTCATATTCTGAGTCACTTTACATGCATATGGAAATACATTGCACCAACTGTCAGGGCTCAACACTAATGGTAGCTAACTAACCACAGACTTAGTCTAGTAGAAATTCAGTCTTGGAGAGTGGTTTTCCATTTCCACAATCCAGTTTGGCTAGTAAACAAACTGAAATTGTCGTAACATTTAAGCTGTCTCTGGCCACTTGGCTAGTAAGTTGAGAAGTTGGTGTTGAGCCCTGGAGGGCTCAGCCCTTTGCTGAAAATTTGGTTTTACAATTTGTTGTTAGTGCTTATTGCTTGTGTTCTCCACTCCAAACTGTTTAACTGGACTTGGTGGTTGAAGCTAATCCAAAGAAAAATTAATAGTAAATGGAGATGTGTGCCTCCTCTTTAGAGGACACTTGCACCTCAAATAAATATATCTTATTAACCAAGTGCGAGGGCCGTACTGGGAGAATATCAGCCCGAGGTCTTGGCAGTATGGACTGAGCGCAGCAAGGTCCATACAAAAAGACTGAGGGCCGATATTTTTCCAGTACAGTCCTGAGCAAGCTTGGTTAATAAGAGATTTATTAGATGACTGAAGTTCAAAGGGACACGAGTGCGGTATCATTCGGGACCATTCGGGACAGTGCCTGGTCCAATACTGAGAGAATATTGACCGGCAATAGAGCATTTGGCTGATTTTAGAGCAATAGGGCATTGGCTGATTTTAGTTATTGGCCCTCTGACTTCCCGAGTTGTGTAATAATCACTATTACATGCTGTCCTTCTGAACTTCTGATAGGTTGAGGTGTACAGATGTTGTAAAAACAATTACCTTTAAGTCTTATTAACCATCTATATTGAAATGGTATTGTAAACATAAATTCATACACTAATTATTAGGCAATGTTGCCCATTGACATGCTGTAGAAAAAAAAAATTACTTATTTTTCTATTTAAACTAAAATCACCATGCCTGTAAGATTGCTTACATTCTAAGTCTGGTCAGAGATGTGTCCTCTTCAGATGTAACTTCAGCCACTTTGTCACAAAATTTTCTGATTAAGTCATCTCTTTTTTCTGTCACAATCAATATCAGGGAAAGAAGGCTGTTCATGACACCTTCAAGTTCTTAAAGGAAAGAAAATAAAAGCAAAACAACTGGATTTTGGAACCATTAATGCTTAGCAGTACATGATTATTTATATAATCCACACGATAGACATGCAAATTTTCCCCAATTCTAGAAGATAAGAATTTCCTTCTCTAGTAAATAACCTGTTCATAAACATTTATCTCCTATTAATGTTTCAATGACATCTAAAGAGGACAGATTACAGATATTCCATTAAGGAACTTCCAGGAACTATCTACTGCAGTTGACAACCCCTCAACCCTTTACACCATAGCATCAGTATGCATATTCTCCATACTATTCTCTATGCATTTCTTTAGGTGCTGACAAGGAGAATTTGTTTAACAATCAAGAGCTTCTTTAGCCAGTGATCATTTCCTTCATTCTTGTGACCATAATGTGTTATTCAGGAGTGACATTGTAGAGAGAATTAAGATGCTGATCCCTCTTAGGAGTAAGGGGGTAAAATTGCCAAACTAAAAGGTAAATATTGTGATGAAAAAACTGGCTTTGGTAGTTAAAGCAGGGTAAAGCCTGCTTATAAGCCAGGTGGCCCATCAGGCTGGTGCTTAACTCCAGTTTCCGAAGCATGAAGCGACTAGGAGTATTTCTACTCCCTGCTGGATGGAATGTTAGTCCATCGCAGGGTTACCCCCAGCATTAAAGTGCACCTAAACCCAAAAATTTTTTTTTCACTTAATGAAATAAGCTTATTTTTTGGAGTATTTCTGTGCAAAAATTTTTTAATCTACTCAAATCTTTGATTTTCTGTGCCCAGTCAAAATATGGAAAATCGGCCACCATCTTGCCCCACGACTGAGTTTAAAGAGGAATGGCTCTAGCGGGTAATGTAACATCAAATCGAGAACACGAAAGTCTGCATTTCACACATTTTCACTTGTTTGGGAAGGTTGTCGTCGATATTGTGCGAAATATGCCAACTAGGTGTGCTGTATGAGGAATTTATGAAGAGCGATACCCTCTTGCAAATTTCGCATGTTGCTACATCCTTATACAACACACTTGGTCGGCATATTTTCGGACAATAGTGAAAATGTGTGAAATGCAGACTTTCGTGTTCTCGATTTGATGTCACATTACCTGCTAGAGCCATTCCTCTTTAAACTCGGTCATGGGGCAAGATGGCGGCCGATTTTCTGTATTTTGACTGGGCACAGAAAATTGAAGATTTGAGCAAATAAAAAAATGTTTGCACAGAAATACTCCAAAAAATACACTTATTTCGTTAAGCGAAAAAAATTTTTTTGGGTTTAGGTGCACTTTAAATTCATTACTTCCTATTTTATTCTCCTGGGTGAAGAGAGGCACTGTGAGAGTAAAGCGCCTTGGCCAAGAACACAACACAATGTCCCCAGCCAGGGCTCGAACCCGGACCACTTGATCCGGAGTCGAGCACACTAACCATGAGGCCAACGTGCCTACCATAAAACTGGCTTTGGAACACTCTCAAAATTACATGCAAGATCATATTCTTCACTGTATATTCAGCTGAACATAGAAATTCCTCACCAAATTTATTCCCTAGTTCAATCATTTAAAACATAATTATACAGTAACTATAGAGGCACATTACCTGCTTCTGTCCTAAAGTTAATGTCACATGCTATCAACAGCTGCTCCAAATCCTCATGTAATGGAGACATGCTTTCTTCATTTATATCAGCCCCACAGGACTTAAGATAAGCTCGAATTTCCTGAGCCTAGTTTGAACAACAACAAAATGAAATTTTTTTTCTCAGTCATGGAAAAAAGTCAACTTCTGTGATCATTAGCATTTTTACATTTGAGAGTGTGGTATAAGAAGGAAACCCTAAGCATGTTTGTGACTCCTAAAGGAAGCTAGAAAAAGCTTACCATTTTTAATAATCGTCTAGGGAAAAAATGAACTTCATTTAAGAGGTACCATTCAGTTTTATTATTTTGTTGAGGTTCAGTATCACTCCTAAGTTTATTTTGCTTCCCTTTGTTTTTCTCGTGGACATGTAAACATTAAAATGCACACAAAAAATAGAAAGGTTACACCATGCAAGAAATTGGGGCAGATAACAACTGTAAGTTTAAAATTATAGACTGTACATGCATTTATTAGATGCAAAAGCTGTTTATGCTTGCAGCCGTCTAATGTGACTTTAAAAATTCATGAAATAATTGATGTTCCCTCGCATAATAACTTCAAGTTACTTAAAGCATTTTCACTACATTTAGGAATATATCAGATAAAGGGGAAAAGATAAAATCGTCTTACTTTTATAATGGGACTTCCTCGACTACATGTGACCGAAAAAGTTTTTCTACGAACTGATAGTCCAGCTTCAAAAATAAGCGTTGAGTGTTTGAAATGACTAGAAAGATGAAATAATTAGAAGGTTACCTGATCCTGCTCCTTAACATCGATAAAAGCCGGCAAGATCGGCTCCATTTTTATCAAAAAATTCAGAGTTTCTCGATCCTAAGAGTAATCGATTCGCAACAATCACGTTTTCGAAAGGCTCCGCTGACCAAAGAGCCTTGTCTAATCTTTCGTCATGTAGGTTACCCCGAATGTTTTGTTTTCGGATGTGCATACATGACAGACATTTTGCACCACGTGGAGACCTGAGCGATCTTAGCAAAATGGTGCTGAAGAAGGTAGACAATCGCATCCGAGTTTTGATTGAAAATGGCGTCCAGAAGAAACAGCGATCATTGTTTGTTATTGTGGGCGATAAAGGAAGAGATCAAGTAAGTTGAACGATGCTTGATAGGTCGTTCTGAAGTCTAGTATCATCAAGTAAATTTGCAGCCAACGAGGATATATTATATTAGAGGGTATTTTGTCTGTTTGTTTTCATCAGTGTCTCACCAAAATAAACGTCATAGGGAAAATATCCTATTTGGAGGATACAAATAGTAGCGGTACGTCTTATTCAACTGGTTCGAAGTAAGGCAGGTTTTTTCATCGTAGAATTGAAACTCTCTGGTCGTATGCGTTTTGCAAATTGAATGATTCAGTGTTCTACCTGAATCTTATTTTAGATCTAAATTAATATTCTAAAATTTACATGCCGTGACAACGATTTGGATTTATCTCCTCTGTGAGTAACGTACCGTGGGACAACAGATTTTGAAAAATATCTCCTTGAAAAAACTTTCTGTAACAACTGGGCAACTGTTCTGGCAAAACTGCCATGTGACAAGCTTGAGACAATATTAAGCATTGGAAGAGATGGTACCTGTCATTAACTGACTTGTACTGCTCTGATGAGGACAAACAGATTAAACAGAACAGCTGAATCATTAACGAAATGCACCCAAACAATGGTTTTTATGACATGCGCATCTCTATGACTTTGTACTAATGCAATGATGAATGCAAGTATTAACTTCTTAGACCTGATATCACAATGTTGATGATCAGGGATGAACAGGAATCTTCTCTCTGAGCATACATGTACACACAGGTTATGCAAGCATGTCTGTTGTAATTTCAGGACTTGTTAAGAATAGATCAGGCTAATCCTTCGAGCAATCACTTTGACCAATATCTTTCTTTCTGTTTGTGCACACAGATCAGTTAGGGAATATGCAGTGTACAATGAAAATATAGACATGGATTTTTCAAGACATGCAACCAGTACTAGTCTAATATGGCTTTTATTGATTTTTTATTTAGGTTGTAATCCTTCATCACATGCTATCCAAGACAGCAGTCAAAGCAAGACCAACAGTTCTGTGGTGTTATAAGAAAGAACTGGGATTTAGTAGGTAATAAAATTTTGTAATGTGGCTTCTTTTATTATGGCAATTGTGTAATTTTAATGGGCTGTCACTCATGAGGAAAATTTTTCCAAACAAATGCCAATGTCAGTCAGTAACTACAATTTCCTGAAATGTATGTGCTTTGCTTCCTAAGATAAACATCTTTGTTAGGTCAACAATCTGACATGCCTTTAAAGTACATTCAATAATAATTTAATTGAAGTCAACCTGTGTGGGGCCCTTTTCTATATTAATGAGTCAATTTTCAGCATATTATAATACAAATAACATTCATGAAATGGGAAACAGAACTATTATGTCGAACCGGATTATGGTGCCTCCTACATGTAACACATACAAGTCATTTGACTAATAAAACCTGTGTGTGTCCTGGAAAACATACACTACAAAGTTAATTTAGTTTTTGTAAATCTCAAATCGCAGTTTACAATATCAATCTGATAACATTGTAAAATGTAGTAATAAGGTGAATATCTTAGGCTACAAGTAGGGTTAAAACTGTTAGTACTAATTACTTAAACTATGCATATCTTTGTTCTTTATCAGTCACAGAAAGAAAAGAATGAAACAATTGCAAAAGAAAATCAAGAGTGGAACCTTAGATCTAAAGAAGGATGACCCATTTGAGTTGTTTGTATCTGCTACAAATATTCGCTATTGTTACTATGCTGAAACCCACAAGATACTTGGAAATACATATGGCATGTGTGTGCTTCAGGTTGGCAAGATAATCAATTTCCTTTTTCATAAGAATGCATTCTCACTTGAAACTCCTTGTAAACACTGCTTTCTGTGCCATTTGTTAGGTGCTCAATAAATATACTAAGTCTACAGATATTTACTAGATCAACTGAAGGTAAAGTCAACTTATGTTCCTTTGACCACACTATTGGTAAGAGCCTACCCAGGTTCCTACCATTGACTGACCAAAGGTGGAGTGTTTCCACTCTCTTGGTTGGGGTGCTAGTGCACAACAACTTACCCCCTCCCCCCTTGCATTTTAGCAGGTTTCTTTTTCAATTTGGTGATACCCATTCATTTGCAAAGGTGGAGATAGATATTGAGGTATATATCAATATCTATCTCCACCAAAGGTGGAGATAGATATTGAGAACAATAACAGAGAAACCTTTGCTGTGATTTAAACTCTGAATTTGGTTGGCTTACCATAAGGCAATCACAGTTCACAAATAATTATTTCCATAACTGAAGTACATTCATGCTACTTACTTACAGATAATTATTGAAGTATGATTTTGTTCTATGCATTTTTTCCCTTATCGTGTTTGGTACAGGATTTTGAAGCTTTAACACCAAATCTACTGGCCCGAACTGTGGAGACAGTTGAGGGAGGTGGTTTGATAGTGCTTCTGCTGAGAACAATGTCATCCTTGCAACAGCTTTACACTCTTGCCATGGTAAGATTTTTTTAATCAAATTTTTACATTTCATTATGATCCATTTAATTACGTAGTTTATAATTGATATGCAGTGTGTATTCAAACAGTTTGCACAGTTAATTGTGTTCTGATAATTTTTTTAAATTACTGTGGAAATAAAAGGAAGGGGATGTTATTTAGTGCATGACATAGGACGGTATGATCTGAGGAAAATAACTCAAAGTGCCCCAAACCTGGGGCTCCACCACCTAGCTATAAAAGACTTATGGCAGGCCAGACTGTTAACTGGGTCCCTTAAAACAAATTTCCCGTGTACTGCTAGGATAGGAATATTGATATGTGATATGTTGATATGCCATATGTAATGCTGAAATTTGTTAAGTGGAAATAGTTTGACAAGTATATGGCAGTTAAGGTGACATTGATAGCAATACTAAGTCTTATTTAACAAACAAAGTTCTGTCATTGAAATCCAGCCACCAAAATACTGTCAGTTTATCAAATTAGCTTCTTTATTGTAATGTGTTGAGTGAAAGCCTCAGACCTTAGGTGCTTCATGTAGATTGACAATACTTGGATTACAGTGTATGTTAAATGTGTTTCTTAGGATGTCCATTCTAGATATAGAACAGAGTCTCATCAAGATGTTGTTGGAAGATTTAATGAAAGGTTTGTTCCTTCTTTGTCCAGCTGCTGCATGTTTCATGCAACTTACATTTTGCACTTTCAGTACATGATTTGAACCTAGGAGTAACATGTGAGAATGTAGTCTGATCATCTGGTAGTGTTGTCGTAAGAAGGACTGTTGTCAGTAGTGGCGACTGATGTTTAGACAACCTGAGGGAAAGTCATCATCAGACTGTGGTAATGACTTCAGCTTAGGTTGTTGAAACATCATCATCAGAGGAAGCAGGAGTCATCATCAGACGCTGATGCTGACTTCTGCACAGTTTGTTGAAATGTCCGTCACTACTACCAACGCTAGTCATCCTCAGGACTACACTCTCCACATGATCAGAGTACATTTAATTTTGACCTTTACAATCTTGCACCAAGGTCCAGAGGTTTGGAATTCCCTTCCGTGTGATCTTATCTTATCCCACAGATTCTCCATCTTGAAGACTTCTCTTAAAAAATTCTTATTGATAGAAAACTAATTTAAACTTGCCCGTCCACAGTTAGCAAATCTATCTTTTACATCGAGTGTGGAACCCAGGCTTGATTAAGCTTCTAGCTTTTGCTGGGTTTCCTTGCCCCACTATCTCTAAATGACCCTAAATTTAATTTTATCTAGTTTAAGTAAAGATTGTTGTAAAATAATATCATTATAGTTATTATTTTAGATTGCTGTAAACAACTGTAATTTATTTTTGTGTGTGTAAGTGGCAAATAAAATAAATAACCAAATAAGTAAATGAATAAATAAACGGTTGGGAAGAAACAGACTCTGGATTGGGTTTGATTTCAGGCAGCATTTGCGCAGACCAAAGAACCTGAGTGGTGCTTTTTTGTTTTGGTTTATTTGTATTTTGCTGCATAAAAATTATAAATAATGGTTTTTATATCCATAAATGTTATTGTAAGATAGGAGAAAAATTATTTGAATTCTTAAGATACTTGTTAAGTCACAATATACATTGTAGACATACATGATTGTACTTAAATATGAAAAAGAAGCAGAAGCCCCTAATCTTAATGTACTACACCCTAACATCAGTATATATATTTTCCATACTGTTCTCTTTACATGTATTGCTTATGGTATTGAAGTGGAAAGTTATTCAAAACATTGCTGGGCTTCTGTAATTGGCAGTTGTTTCCATTATTGTCATGACCTTAATTCTTCATTCAAAGATGGTATTGTTGGGATTAATTAGAGGGCAGGCACTCTCAGAAGTTAAAGGGCTGATTTGTGAATCTTTTAAAGCAGTTACAGCTGTTTGTTTATTTGCATATAAATATTATACATCTTTCAGTTCTTGAAATTTGCTTTTAACGTAAGAAATGTATCCCTTTTTCTTTTTGCCTTCAACAGATTCATATTGTCGCTGACCTCAAATAAGAATTGCATGGTTATTGATGACCAGTTGAACATTCTCCCCATTTCTTCTCATACTCTATCAATCACTGCATTACCACCTAAATCAAAGGTAACTGTGATAGTAATGTTCATTCATAGTTCAAAGGAGAGGTAGTTGACAGTGAAGATGAAGTTGTTCCATATTGTTGTGGAAGTGTTAAAGAGGCAAGGCACTGGCACAATGAATGTGGTAATGATTTTATTCACATGAAGTAGAGTAAGCTTAGAAGTTTCAAATGGTGGGAAAAATCAATGGCATTAAACTCTTTTTCTTTGTTGGTCTCAAAAGCCTTGAAACTCCACTTGCTTATTTCTTGATTGCTTTTCATTATAAACCTGAAAATTGACTCAAGCCTTGATCCCCAAAGTTTTGAAAGATTGAGGATCAATAATTGGGGATCTACCCTCCAGCTGGCGAATATCTTTGACAGATCCCAAAAGATGTTTATGAGGACCTTTGAGGATCCTACTGAGGATCTCCATGAATATCTTTATAACATTTCTTCAAGGATTTTCAAAATTTTTGTTAAGACCTTTAAAGATCATTGAAAGATCATGGAAAGATCCTCAAGATATTGCCAAGAAATTGGCAGATCCTTGAAGATCTTAACACAAATTAAAGAATTAAAATATCCTTAACAATCAGTTTTCAAGGGGGTGCCAACTTACAATTAAGGGGGGCACTAAAGTTTAGATACTAGTCATGTAATTATCAGCATTATAGCATGCTGAGACAGACTTGCTAACAAAAGGTTAACCAATAAAAGCAAATCGGCTCAGAGCAAATTTAGATAAAAAAATAATGTAGATGTCATACAGGCTAGTGAAAATATGTGCCTATGCCATTTATTTTTTCTTGCAGGAAGAATCTATGAATGCAAATGAAATTGAGCTTAAGAGTTTGAAAGAATCATTGCAAGACACACAACCTGTTGGAGGTATTGTTAACTGTTGCCACACTCTTGATCAGGTCAGTTTCTATGTTAATTATGCATGTACATTGATTTGTATTTTTGGTTAAATTATTTGATCAAAAATGGTGAGAAAAAATTCAAACTCCTAATAACATCTACTTACAAGAGCCCCTGCCCTGATAACCATCAGCCCAAAATTTGGTCACCGGATAACAAAGGTCCTATACTTTGGTAACAGGATGACATTTAACCTAGACCTATCCTGTATCCATATTTCACTTGACTTGTGTACGTATACCCATCTCCATATTTGGAGAACTGACCTATCCTGTACCTATACCTATTTCACATGTGTGCGCATACCCATCCCATACTCATATCTGGAGAACTGACCTGAGGTGTGCATTTATTGATATGGGTACTGGTAGACAGTGGACCTCTATTTTGGTACAGGGGCTAACTGGCTGCTACTCTTGGGTTCACTGGTGAGTGGAAGAAAACAGAAATTAGTAACAGTAGATACTGCACAAAGGAAGAGTGCTATTAAGTGCTATTAGTAGTACTATTCACCTCCGAGTAGTGGACGAGACCAAATCGTGCATCATGAGTTTAATTTGTGACCATTTTTGGTATATTGAAAGAAATAAACTAATTTTTTTGATTGATATCTGTGTGGAATATTCTAATGCAATTATTCACCTCAGTGTTGGTGAAAGTGGTGGATATCTATTGTACCTCAATGCTTTGCAGCAGGTAAACATCCACTGCTATTCACCTCCACTTCAGTGAATAATTGTCAATCAATATAGATAGAATTGAGGATGTATTTCTTAATATTATCAACAAACATGCACCTCTTAGAGTTCTGAGGGGGGCTCACTGAGGGGGGCTCACTGAGGGGGGCTCACTAAGGGGGGCTCACTGAGGGGGGGCTCACTGAGGGGGGCTCACTGAGGGGGGCTCACTGAGGGGGGCTCACTGAACTCTTGCTTGGATTACTGTTGATATTTAGCAACCAGTGCAGGGGTTTCATTAAGGGCCAGGCACCGGGCAAATTGACCGGTTGTGAGGACGGTTTTGCCCACCTGATTTGACGGTCTGGAGGAAAGTTTATCCAGTAAAGAAGTTCAGTTCAAAGAGTTTTGCCCGCCTGTGAAAACCAGTTGCCCTCCTGCAGAAAACATTAGTGAAGCCCTTGCCAGTGTCCTCCAGAACAGGGCAAGAAATGCTTTGCATTATTGCAAAAGAGTGAAAGATACATAAAAGGTCAAAGTCTAATTTAATTGGACAAAAATGCTCTCAACTGACTTACGTTTAAGGGTACATTTACTTGTATCTTTCATTATAAAGTGACAGTAACTGTTTATGTACTGTGCTTTTTCAAATAGAAGAAACTTACAAACACTCCTTTGACTGTCCCTTTGTTTACATTTCCAGGCAAAAGCAGTTCTCAAATTCATTGAAGCAATATCAGAGAAGACCTTAAGAAGCACAGTTACCCTAACAGCAGCCCGTGGTCGTGGAAAATCAGCTGCCCTAGGACTGTCATTGGCTTCTGCTGTTGCGTTTGGGTATGCTATAAAATTAAAAAAAAAATACGTATTAGATGTAGCGAGATCTTAAAAAAAGAATGTAACGTTACAAATTTTAATGCAGAAATAAATTTTATTTCACTGTGGTGATCAGATTCTTCTACATGAGAGAAGAACCCTCCTAATTTTGCTTCTTTCCTCAGGGTGTGGCCTTATAGCTTAGTTGAGAGGGACAGGTTGGAATCCTGTGAAAGCGTGAATTTTTTCAGGCTTCTGTTTTCCAGTTCCTTAAATTGCATCTCACCTGCAAGGATCGTTTCTTAACCGAATTTAAACGTGTCACATATCTGAAAATCACTTTTCATTGGTATCATTCTCGTTTTCAGCTTATCAAGAGGAGTAAGTTGAAGTTCTTTTGTGTTTCTGTCTTGCAGGTACTCAAACATGTTTGTGACATCACCAAGTCCAGAGAACTTGCACACTTTGTTTGAGTTTGTCTTTAAAGGGTTTGATGCCCTGGAATTTCAGGTATGGAAAAGAAATCTGTTGCAATATTGATATTAATTATTTTTAATTAGTTCACCCTTTAACTGCTAGAAGTGATTAACAAGCAACTTCTCCCTATAATATCCATACATTATCCAGCAAACAGGTGATGAGAGTACACAGACTTATCAGGTAGAAGTTGTTGTCTTGATCTAACACCAAATTCTTGTAACTAATTTACAAGGAAATGTGTAGCAGCTATAAGAGAGAATTAACAATCAACGCTAACAATGTCTGTAATAAACAACAGGAACATCTAGACTATGAGCTTGTGCAGTCAACCAATCCAGAGTTCAACAAAGCAGTTGTGCGAGTGAATATTTTCAGGGACCATCGACAAACAATCCAGGTAACAAAGTAGAATGTTTATTACTATCAATGCTACCTGTGATGACAGACCCTCAATTAGAGTGTAAAAGTGCGGACCTATACGGCCCCGCGCTTGCTTTTATCGAAAACGTTAGATAAAAATGCACGTACATACACGAGGGTCGTACACGATGGCGTAAGCAGTGCCGGAAAAAGCCATGCGGCCCCCCCCGAGGTGCGAGCTGATAGAAGAAAGGAAGCTGCGCGGCTGAAGAGGCTGTGCGGGGGGGTGGGGAGAATGGGAGGAGGCGTACGGCTATTTTATGACCCCACCCGGGCCATTGTGCGCAGATTTCATGAGCGGAGTTTGTCTAATGTTTTCTAATGAAGGCGCCGTACAGGTCATGTTATAATATTTCTTTTATTTGATTTGGATGGTGACTGCCACTCAGGCTTTCAAACCATTAGTCACGGTGCTGTAGTTGACGACACCCAGGGCTACTCTCTTGCTGAAGATCAGAAAAGTAGACCGACTGCAGTGTTCTACACCTCAAAAATTTAACTACGAACTCTCCTTTTTAGTACATTCACCCATCAGACGCCCACAAGCTTGGCCAAGCAGAGTTGGTCGTTATTGATGAAGCTGCTGCCATTCCACTGCCTTTGGTGAAAGAACTTATGGGACCATACCTTGTGTTTTTGTCATCAACAGTCAATGGGTAAGGCTGCAGGCATTTACTACTTTGGCATGTTCTTGTGTGTGATATGGTCGCAATCAGCTTTCTTTAATGAGGGTATTTTTAGTGTGAAGAATGATAAGTATGCGGTCCATTCATGCTGCATGAGAGAGGATGAGGGGTATTGTCACTATAAATTTCACAGATTAACAGCATGGGTGAACACTAAACTTAGGTGACGTACCTGCGTTTTGTTCTCTTCCAGGTATGAGGGAACAGGCCGATCTCTCTCCTTAAAACTGATCCAACAGCTCAGGGAACAAAGTACAACTCGTGGTCCTTCCAATAAAGGCAACAGCTCCACACCCTTGGGCCGCAGTCTTCATGAAATAACTCTGAACGAGTCCATCCGTTATGCACCGGGAGATGAGGTGGAAAGATGGTTAAACCATCTTCTCTGTTTGGACGCCACTGTGGTGCAGAGGCTTTCTTCTGGTTGTCCACTGCCTGAAAATTGTGATTTGTATCCTTTGCAGTGATAGTGATAGTGCTTTTCTAGTCTTATCATGTATCATGGTAAGGACGGCCGCCAAAAAGGAAGAAGAAAAAGAAAGAAAGAAAAAGCAAAAGATGAATAAAAGGATCGGCTCGAGAAAGGGACTGACTTCTCACGACGAAAGGGAACTTTCGTTTATATCACATGAATGTCTTTGCCTGTTTCAAGCGTTTTGTTAGTAAACAGCGTGATAGCAACGGAGGAGTGAAAAAAACGAGGAAGGCTTGGGTCCAAAGGAAGAACCAAAACCTCTCTCGCTTTTCACTCCGCCGTTACTCTGGCGCTGTTTACTATTTCGCTCCGTTTTATACTGACTGAAAGCCCGCAACAGGCTAATTATGCCTACATTTTGATCTCGTTGTACATAGTTCTCGTCATTTACCATTACTTTAACAGTAAACGTCTTCAAGCTTCGCACCTCTTAACTGGTTTTTCATTAGATATTACGTCAATCGGGATACATTGTTTTCTTATCACAAAGCGTCCGAAGTCTTCTTGCAAAGGCTCATGGCTCTTTACGTAGCTTCTCACTACAAGGTGACTAACTGTTTTATTGTTTTCTTCGATTCTTCATTCGAATAGGACTGTACAGTGTACATCAGTGGCCAGATTAGAGTAGTGGTAGGGAAATTTTCGTGTCATTCTTGTATGAATAGGGAACTGGGGAACGAATACGCGTCGTTTGTGCGCGTAATAGAGTTAATTGGGTCCTTTATCTTATTCATTTCTCCTATCAAAGTCAACTGTCATGTTTTTTTCTACAAAAGGTTCAACCGACTTTTTTTTGGTTGTAATTGTTTTACTTTTGGTTTTTTTTGTTAAATTATTTTTTATTTATTGTTATTTAAATTTTTTTTTATTTTTGTTATTTTGTTATTCATGCAGTACTGTGCACAAGAAATACAAATGATAACGCCGATTATCGCGATGTATATGCGATATTTGAGTGATATTTTCAGTTGGAGGGATATTTCGGCGATATATTGCACCGCTATTGTTTTAACAGCCGCTATCTATCGCCGATAATTATATCGTTCAGCTCCTCAGGAATTATCGTTTTCCCTGAGCGATATATCGTTTCCCTGAGCGATATATCGTTTAAGCTCAACGATATATTTTTTCTGCCCCTTCTGATATCTCGTTTACCTCCCAAAATAGCATTGTTCGAGGCACATTAGCATCTTCTGTGGTTACGTTTTCATGTCGAATTGAGGGGGTAGCATTTTTCCAAGAAAGAATAATACCTGTTTAAACTTGCAGCCAATATTGATCTGCACTACCCGTGCTCTAAATGTTCTCTCTTCCTTTTCTCTTTCATTTGAGAGAGGAAACTGTTGCTTCCCCATTACATGACCATTGTGGTATTACGGGGAACACTGTTTTCGTTGTCTTTCGTTTGCAGAACACTCCAAATGATCTGCAGTTGTTATCCGATGCACCAGCGCACCACATCTTCTGCCTGTTAGGTCCTGTTGATCCTGCTCAGAACACACTTCCAGAAGTGTACTGCGTCTTACAGGTAAGAGCCAGCAAAGCAAGGTACATTAAAACATAAAATAGGACAGTTGGTCACCAACCTGACTTGCATACCTGCTGGAGCCTATTCCTGCTCCTATAACATGAGATAACTAGAGCTACAACCCTGGACAAAACTGTTGAGACATTTCAATGCAATTTTTAATTTCCCGCCATGCAACAATCGTTTCCAAAGGAACAAACTTGCCCCCCTCCCCACCCTTGGTACAATGTTGTTGGGACTTAACAGCTCAAGCATGCATTTATTGGAGTGTTCTGCAAACAACATTGCAATAGGGGAGGGGGAAAACAATCTTTGAATTTGCGACGGGAAGCATTTTGTCAGGGTGAGTACAAAAAATAGGTATTTTTGTAATGTGTCTCAACAGGTTTTGTCCGAGGTTGTAGTGCCTTTCCTCCTGGAGGGTGTGCCAGTATGGATACTAATTTTTGCAGATCATTCGCGGCCAAAGTTTCAATCTCTAATCTATGGATGAGCGAAGCCTCTATTAAATCTTTTTTTTTTTTTTTTTTTTT